CCTTGTATCTTCTACTATAAATGTGTAACCTCAGATTAATAAGAAAGCAAGAAAACTTCGAGTCTCTCTTTGCCTCTTGTCACTATTTAGATCTGAAGTTACTAGTCACTTATCTCTTTGAATCTCTTCTAAATCTCATTTTCTCTTCTAATCTCTTTACAAATAACCTTCTAAACTCAGATTACTACAAAAATATTATACCTAAGACAATTTGAAACGTTAGTAATTTGGGTTTGGGTAGTTCGTATAATCTAGCGTGTACATCTGGATGGCTAGGAACTGTACATGTGTACATAATAATGCCTGAAGTTCTTGATTTCGGACAATTACAAGGCAGCCCATCCAAATGTTTGTACACATGTACGCATAGCCATATTCATAACAAACAATAATGTCTATGCGTACATGTGTACAAATATTACGAAGGGCTGCCAGAGTTGTAAGGCTGTACTATTATAAGTGAGGCTGCATCCCAGGTAAGTTTAAGAGAAGGCACAATAGATTAGAGGTACATTGTTTGTTTGAAAACAGTCACACATAAATTAAGCGTTTACATCATGGAAGTTGGAAGGGGGAGATTAGTACCTAATACAATTTGTGAAGTTAACATGATAACAGTTAACAAATGGAGAAAGTTAACCTTACATAAAACACTTGTACATGATAACAGTTAACACAGCACAAACTGAGATGTTCTTCAAGCACTTAAGTTCACCCTTGAGACGTTTTATGTCCTGGTCAAGAAAATTTGGGATTCTTTTGATGGCGGATGGGTATCAGAATGTTAGGAGTGGTGATTGTGGACCTGTGGCGATGAAGTTTATGGAGCTTGCAGCGACAGGTGTGGAGGAGCCAGATGTTGAGGATCTTACTGATCTGCTTGTGGACATTATGAGGAAGCAATATGCGATGGACGTGTATAAGGAGTGGATTGTGCCCTTGTACATGGGTGGAGGCCATTAGAGTGGGTGGAGAAAATATTTTGTTGTGGTTTCTGTTAGGTAACCCGGTGGTAATTTTTTTTGGGTTATTTATGACTTGATGGCGGCAACCCACCCTTGTGGTGGTTTTAAAGTTTGATCTTGTGTTTAAGACTTATTTAAGACTTAATTATCTAATGTAATTGACTATTTCTGATCTTTATCTTATCTAATTAACTATTTGGGATGTTTGGTTGATGTTGAATTAGATAGATTTGGGTACAGTTTTTATGATGAAGTGTTTTGTTATGATTCTCATTACATTGAATTCCGGTGGATCAAGTATACAACATAGTTTTCGGTTGGGGCGACCATTGTGTCTTTAAAAATTGAGAAGAGAGTGTACCTAAGACAATTCGAAACGTTAGTAATTTGGGTTTGGGTAGTTCGTATAATCTAGCGTGTACATCTGGATGGCTAGGAACTGTACATGTGTACATAATAATGCCTGAAGTTCTTGATTTCGGACAATTACAAGGCAGCCCATCCAAATGTTTGTACACATGTACGCATAGCCATATTCATAACAAACAATAATGTCTATGCGTACATGTGTACAAATATTACGAAGGGCTGCCAGAGTTGTAAGGCTGTACTATTATAAGTGAGGCTGCATCCCAGGTAAGTTTAAGAGAAGGCACAATAGATTAGAGGTACATTGTTTGTTTGAAAACAGTCACACATAAATTAAGCGTTTACATCATGGAAGTTGGAAGGGGGAGATTAGTACCTAATACAATTTGTGAAGTTAACATGATAACAGTTAACAAATGGAGAAAGTTAACCTTACATAAAACACTTGTACATGATAACAGTTAACACAGCACAAACTGAGATGTTCTTCAAGCACTTAAGTTCACCCTTGAGACGTTTTATGTCCTGGTCAAGAAAATTGAGCTCGGTCTGGTACTTTTGAATGAGAGTACAGCAAGTACGGGTTTGTAGCGAAAGACTTTGAAGCTGAGATTCTGAAACTTCTTGACACTTGTCATTGGCGAGCTTTTTTATTTTAACATCCTCAAGATCTGCCTTTATATCCTCAATTTCCTCGAGAATGGAAAGGTCGGTCCATTTGAAAAGGTGCCCGGGGTTTTGCTGTCATGTAGTAGAGTAGATTAGTAAGAGGAGAAGGCCCCTTAGTGGGTATGTAGTAGATTTGACATACCTCATCGCCATAAGGACAACTGTGAAAGAGGCGTCCTGGATTTGTTTTGGTTTTGGAGGTGTGCCGTGAAACGGGTGAGCCACATCGACAGTGTGTTGGAATACCTCGATTGGTGTCTTCCATGGTGGTCAGAAGCGGCGGAACCCTAATTTCTGTTTTTTAGGTTTGTGTCGTCTTCTCTCTCACTTTATAATGTGAGAAAACGTTGTCGTTTGATGTGGCGGTTTGGTTTAAGTAAATGTCCGGTTTAAATTTGTGTACGCGATTTGGTTGTACTGAGACGTACATGGATGTGGTTGTACATATGGAGTGCATAGACAGAAGTATATATGTACGCATAATGTGAACCCTGCAAACTTTCTTGTCTTTCAGTAAGACCACCAGTGTCGTGTGTTCAATCACCGGTGTTCGTATGTACGAGAAACGATTTTTGTACATCTGTACGCATGGTTGTCAATTTCTTACAACGATTATAAGTTTCGATCATTTCCTTAGTAGCATCTATTTGAAACCTGAATCCCAATTATAAGTTAGAATGCATTTAAACATAGTTAACCCAAATATATGTCAAAAAACACCAGGTTCAGATCAGTGAATACATGTACATAACGTACAGTTATGTTTACCAAAAAAAACCAGAAAGTTACAAAAGAGTAAACTGATCATTGGTGAATTTGCTATCCAAAAGCTTGGGTCTGTGGATATAAGATTCACCCCAGTCAGATGGGGACAACACAGCGGGTGCGATTATGGCCAGTGCCACCGCAGCGACCGCATTTGTTAGGAATGAGCTTTGTCTTTTTGGGAGCCTGTTCAAAGTGGTAGATGTAAGTATATATTGTTTAAAAAATTTGCAGAAGTGCTAATATGCTTATCTGATTACCAGCGAAAGGTACCTTAATCTCTCCTGTAGAAGGAATTCTTTTGTCTTTTGGGCGACCAGAGGGACGACGCGTTTTTGGCGGGCAGATGGTAAGATCAGCAATAGCTTTTGGGATGGTGTGGTCACCAAAGGGAGCTTCTGGCTGAATTACACCTAAGTACGTATCAACCCAATGCTGTGTCTTGTAAAAATCGCCAACTAAACCGCTGTAGGGGAGACCACATGAATCCGCTGCAAAGAGAGCATGGCCACAAGGTATTTTGAGTTTTTGAAAGACTTGACAAGTACAGGCTTTAGTATCAAGGTGGACAGTGTTGGCATGACCAAAGAGACCCCTAACTGAATAGCTCCATTCCTTTGTTTGTGAGATCTTGCTGCCTTTGGTTAGACGGATGTGACTTTGAATGACTTTATCAACCTCTGGTGTGACAATACCCCTGTGTTTACCAGATTTGATCCTCCTTGCTGAGAACCAACGAGTTAGCATACGTTGAATGAACATGAACATCTCAACAATAGGGGAAGCTCTTGATTTAGAAATAGCATTGTTCAGCTGCTCAGCTACATTACTGGTGAGGAGATTGTACCGGTTACCAGGGAAATATGTACGAGACCATTTGGCGGTGCCTATATCTTCAAGGTATTTGAAGCAGGCTGCGTTGGCAAGCTTGATTTTACCAAAATTTTTATCAAATTCAGAACGCCGGAATGAGAATGCAGCCTCACAAACCATCTTTGCAAGACCTTTGCTTTTGTAGCGAGATACAACGTTGCGCATGAGATGGACAATACAGGCTCCATGATGTGCTTTTGGAAAGACCTCAACTTTGGCTTTGATTATAGAGGCATTGCGATCAGAGATAATGGTGAGGCTGCTGGAATCAGCAATAATCCTTTCAAGGTGAGTAAGAAACCATCTCCATGCCTCGTCAGTTTCTCCATCAACTACAGCGAAGGCGAGAGGGAAGACTTGGAAGTTGCCATCTTGTCCACTAGCAGTGAGAAGTACACCCTTGTATTTACCGGAGAGATGAGTGCCATCAATAATCAGAACATGGCGTAGGCGTCTGAATCCTTGGATTGAAGCACCAAATGAGAGAAAAGCGTATAGAAACCTTGTGTTCCCTTCGTTGTCAATCTCAGTCTCAATATCAGTGATTGTACCCGGGTTTGTTGCTTTAAGCCTCTCAAAATAACCAGCCACACTGAGGAAGGAGTCCTCCGCATTCCCATGTGTAATGTCGAGGGCAATTCCTTTAGCCCGGTGACATTTCATGTAAGAAGCACCAACACGCAAATCTTCAAGAACAAGTTGCTGCAGCTGCATTGCCTTGGGTGCGTCAATGGGGTCGCCATATTTGGAACGGTAGATATGTGCTAAGACTTTAGCAGTTGCACGCTTCCTGTATAGGCTTCGAGTGTCAGTATCACAGGTGTGATCCAAATGACATTTTTTTATAGTATAGTAACCGCACGTCGTGAGCTCCTTTGCAAGGATTCTCCATGGACAACGAACGTCATGACAACTGAGAACAAAGGAATGCCTGCTGGTCCTGGTCTGTCTAAAATAAAATTGTTCTTTGATTGCATAGATAGCGAGGCTGATTTGGCAGTCTTCCTTTGATGCATACAATTTGCCCACCCAAGGTTCATCATCGTCGATACACAAATCTGGGATATCCTCGGCTTGATAAGAGGTATCATCAAACAAGGGAGGTATATCGAACTCCTCGTCACTGATCTCAGATAGGGGTCTCGTCTCCCGGACAGGTGGGGTTGGTGGACGTGGTAGGTTGGGCTCTGTAGAGGATGTACGGGGTGAGTTGTGTACACCAGCGGTTCGCTGTACAGGTGGACAGCTCTGGCTGTGTACGGGGGGTGAAGAGAGTTCCGGTTTACAGTATGGAGGCAACTCACCTGACACAAGAACCGTGTGTTGGAAAGCGTCACCGGTGGCACAGTGGATGGTATGGGGAGCAGTCTTTGGTACAGAGATACCCGCCATAACTGCAGCAGCATCAGAACCTCCAAGATGTTCATCAATGAGGGGGGCCCAGAAATCGTGGTCATAACCACGGGACTGAACATTGTCTAAATCACCAGGGAGAGAAGCATCAGAGTCACTGTCTTCCTCATCGTCAGTAACCCAGCTATCAGGAATGTTTGCAGGGTCGTCTTTAAACATGCTTTCAAGTAGCTCATCGCCGCAGAGGAGGGTTTCGTCGACAAGAGATAAGCGGGGAATTTTAGATGGAGCAGAGCTGCTAGCATTGGGAGGAGGGGTCGGACCAGCCTTACGACGTTGTACTGGTGGACAGCTCTGTGTGTGTACGGCGGGGTAATTCGGTGGATACACTTTAGGTTGTACATGTGTTCGACCCAAATACTCTGGTGGTGTACACGTTTGGGGGTGTACAGGCGTACAGTTGTGGCCCAGGTCTAATTCATCATCTGGGAAAAGAGAGAAGCCTGGTATCTGAGACCCACAGGTTGAGAGTGGTCGGAGTGGAGAAGGTGAATAAGAACTGTGTATCCTGTTGATTGGTTGGTTGGGCGTGGTAAAAGGTAACGAAGTGTCATCAGTTTGATTAGTTTGAGGTGTGGTGAAGGTGACGAACAAGTTCATTGCTTTGTTGGCTTGAAAGTGGTGGTAGAAGTAGGACACAGCACCGTCATTTGTGAGCATAACTGGCGGTGTGGTAAGACCCGTAGCAAGTTCCTTCGTGTTAGGCGGCCAATAGCTGAGTACAGCGGTGCGGATGATGTCAACATTGGCAAAGAACTCTCTGAAAACGGTGTTGAGTAATTCAGACAAAGAAATCCCAGCACGGAGAGGGACAATCCTTGTCATCTGTTTTTTATCAATCTCGAAATTCCAATGATTGTCTCCAGAGGTTTTCCACTCGCCGGCAATGATCATACAATGCTCTGCCAT